TTTATTTGTAAGCTTATCATATCAGCGGTTCGGCGTAATTTTGCCTATTATTTTATTATCATCTGACTAACAAGCACCCTAAAATCATAATAAGCTGAGCGTCAACCTAATTTCCCGTCACCAAAGCTTATAATAAACTGAGTGTCAAACCAATCTCCTGACATCGAAACCAATCTCTTTCCTGTATGTACAAGGAAAACTACTCTGAAAGTTTCGAAAAATTAAGTACTTTCACATATAAGTGCCGTCAAGAGAAACCTGCCATCAGTGTTTCAAGTTTATTGCTTACCAGACTAAATTTATTTGATCTGTTAGAGTTTTTGTCCGGGTAAGTTATAAATTTAAAACCCCGATGGCAGGTTTTCCTTGACTGCACTCATATATAACAACAAAAAAAATAAGCACTTTGGAACGTAATGGAAAATCAAATTGCATCAAACTTTTCATGCTCATTGTGTTCAAACAAAACATTTAAGACACTCGAATGGTTACATTTGCATCAGAGTAGAGTTTACAAACAAAATAGCAAAAGTTTTCATTACTATTTACTGATTCTTCACATATTTACTGCTCTTTATGTCTAGGAAAAAGCTATAAGAATCTACAAGGGCTAGGTCAACATGAATCACTGATTCACTCTAACTATAATATTCCTCAGGTTGGTTTAATACCTCAACCACTTGAAGCAATTTCCGAATTTAAGAAATCATTAGTATTTTTAATTCAAGACAATTAAAAAATAGGCATCAGCAGCAAAAACAACATGTAAATATACCATGCTTAGAAACTTTGTTTGTAGGAATTTTTTATAGTAATATTAAACGATATTCACCAAGCTGTGGATTTTATTACTATATATTTAGTGGGGTAGGAGCATATGAAGTATTAGGTCAAATCTTTAATGATTCAAATTGGGGTGTACGTGAATATAAAAATCAACAACAAACTTGGGTGGTTTTAGTATCTCAAAATATGAGCCAAATGTAACTGAAAATAGAAATTTAATGGAGACATAGGCAAATAAAAGATGAAGCAAATCATGTTTCGGAAACAGGTTATATATTTCTAAATTTTACAATAGATCAAATTTATTATTAATGATGTAATTAATATTATGTTGTAAATTTATATATTAGC